GTAGTTGTTGATAATTTAGTGGGCAGTTTTCTATTGCAGGTGTTGCTCTTCGGTACTTGAATACTATTTGTCTGATGACAGACAAACAAAATTCGCCATATGGTGGTTTGTTTCTGGTCCTCATCTCATACATATTATAAGCATTGAGCATGGAAATGTCCAGAAGATGGAAAAAGAGTTTTATGTACCACTTATAACTCTTGTGAACACAATCAGCAAACCCAATCTGCATGTCACATTTGTCCACTGAGCACATATTGAAGGTGTAATCAATCACAGCTGCAGGTTTTAGAATGGGTTCATTGCTCTCTCTATGCTGCCTGCCAGTGTTTGTCATTTTGTTAGGGTGAAATGATGACAACAGTGTGACATCATACCACCGAAATGCCATGATATCATTGGCAATAAACGCCTGCACCTCACCTCTACGAGTGCCAGCGTCAAACCTGGGCATATGTTTACGATTTGCATGCACTGTGCCAAACACATGTCATGTTCACTCGCAAAAAATCACTGAGTGAGGGGCTTGTGTACCAGTTATCAGTATATAACATATGCCCCTTACCAAGGTATGGTTCTATCATTGTTCTAACCACATCACCAGAGATGCCCAATAACTTCCTGGTATTTTGCAATGTATAACTTCCAGTGTACACAATAATATCCAATACAAGACCACTGTAGCAATCATAAAGCACAAAACTTTATACCAAAGTGTTTCCTCTTGCTTGGTATGTACTGCTTGAATGAGAGTCTTCCTTTGAACAGAATCAAAGACTCATCAATAACAAGCTTCTTGAAGGGATAAAAATACATATTGAATTTCTCTTTCAGATACACAAACACAATCCTAATCTTATATAACCTGTCATTTCTGTCAGGCCTGGTTTTGTCTGAGAAGTGAAGCATACATAATAGTAGCACAAATCGATTCACTCACATTATATCACTGAAACCTGGGGTTGCAATCAGGTGATCTGTTGACCAGTATGATTTCACAGTGTGCTTATACACATGTGGCATAAGCATTATTGTGGCAAAGAAAAGATACATCTCAGCCACAGTTGTTTCCTTCCACTAGTGTAGACGTGATTTTGGTGAAAGTATTGTGTTTGCCATGGTGTAATCGAAGTATCTGTTGCTTTCCCTGACAATAATTTCCATCAGGGGTTCGTCAAAGAATAACTCGAAACATTCCAGTTCACTAGCATTGTTCCCAAGTGCACAAGATGGCTGTATTCCACTTTGCCTTTCATCAAACTGATGGGGATTTGGAACAAAACTGGCAGCTTCCTGCCAATCCCAGGTGCAGTCTGCTGGTGGGTACTGGATATTGACAGGTGGTTGTGGGTGTGGAGTTTGTGGGTGTGGAGTTTGTGGTTGTGGAGGCTGTGGTTGTAGAGGCTGGTGTGGTGGGTGGGTGGAGGATGGTGGCCTTTGTTGTAGATCAGCTGAGGCAGCGGCGAGGGTGGCAGCATGGCCCATTGCTGGTGCCTCACGGCTGGCACCACCACCACTACCACCATGCACATTTTCCATCCAAATTGCAACACTATCATCTTCATTTTCACTATCTGTTCCTGTTGTACAGCCATGGGATGTACTCCGAGATGTACTCCTTCCCCTTGGAATAGCATATGGCACACTACCAGAGCGCATATAGCGTCGTATATACTGACGCTTCACTGGACAATATTCCACTTCACTATCACTACTGGAACTGTTTTCAAGAGCTTGGAGTTCATATTCACTATCACTATCATCAATGCTGACATCTGGGTCCGGGATATGGGAAAATAGGAGTTTCGTCTTTGGTTCTGGTACAACTGAGCGTGAACAAGATGGCCCAGCACCAGAGGTGGGAGGCTGAGGGTCATCTGGGTTTTCCTCACTATTACCAGTACAGTGGACCCCTGGTTCACGATATTAATCCGTTCCTGACAGCTCGTCAATTCCAAAATTATCGGAAAGCGAATCAATTTTCCCCATAAGAAATAATGGAAATCAAATTAATCCGTGCAAGACACCCAAAAGTATGAAAAAAAAACTTTTTACCACATGAAATATTAAGTTTAATGCAATATAATAATTACAATAACAATAATAACAATAGAATAATCACAATAGAATAATTGACACTTACCTTTAACGAAGATCTGGTGATGATTGATGGGATGGGAGGAGGGGAGAGTGTCGAAGTTTTTAATGTTTAGAAGGGGAATCCCCCTCCATTAGGACTTGAGGTAGCAAGTCCTTTTCTGGGGTTACTTCCCTTCTTCTTTTAATGCCACTAGGACCAGCTTGAGAGTCACCGGACCTCTGTTGCGCAACATATCTGTCCATAGAGGCCTGTACCTCTCGTTCCTTTATGACTTTCCTAAAGTGGTTCACAACATTGTCAGTGTACAGGTTGCCAACACGGCTTGCAGTAGCTGTGTCAGGGTGATTTTCATCATACTATGTATGCCACACTATGTATGCCACTACGATTCTTAAATCTTTCAAACCAACCTTTGCTGGCCTTAAATTCACTCACATCACCACTAGTTGCAGGCATTTTCTAATTAAATCCTCATGCAACTGCCTAGCCTTTTCACAAATGATCGCTTGAGAGATGCTATCTCCTGCTATTTGTTTTTCATTTATCCACACCAATAACAGTCTCTCGCCGGGTCACCATCTGGAGAAGACCCGGGCCGGAAGTACCGGCAAATCATCAAGAAGAATAACAGTCTCTCAACATTTTCTAACACTTGCAGTCGCTGTTTCGCAATCACAGTTGCACCTTTTGCAAGAACAGTTTCCTTGATTGCCGTTTTCCTGCTCACTATAGTAGAGATGGTTGACCGGGGTTTACTATACAACTTGGCCAGCTCCGACACACGCACTCCGCTTTCATACTTTGCAATTATCTCTTTCTTCATTTCAATAGTCATTAGCACCCTTGGTCTCAATGGGTTGGCACTAGAAGCTTTCTTGGGGCCCATGGTGACTTATTTTGCAGAAACAAGCACCAAAAACAGTGATAATATGGATAATATGGAATGTACCGAATGTATCCTTAGATGCGCGCACACTGGCTGGCTTGTAAACACTGGCACACACGGGGCAGTTCAGGCCATATGTGGACACGTCTCGTACGAATCGTATCGCATACCGGGTTTTGTAACGGGAACCGAGGCAAATTTTTTGCGATATAATGCTTTGGATACCGGAGTTATCGGATACCGATGGCTTCGCGAACCGGGGGTCCACTGTATTATGATCATTAGTGTTGGTCACAACCTCATCAAAACCTTGAAACTCATCTTCACTGGCACTTCCATCTGTATTAGAACTGTCACTGGGGAACAAAAGTGTCCCAATTCGCCAAGGAGTGAGGAGTTTCTTACCGCGAGGCATGGTGAGCAAGGTGTACTAAAATGGCGTTTCCAAAGTGTGCCACTGGGTCCAAGAATTTTTTCCTACCATGCACACTCACCACACAGACCCATTCTCTCACATCTAGGCCTACCAGCTGTTTCCCACTTGACTTGAAGGCGCTAGAATTTATGCATACTAGTACGTCAATAACCCTGGTGCGTAAGCCGTACTAGTACGTCGGAAACCCTGAAAGGGTTAAACGACTTTTCCAATGCCTCATCCGTTGAAGTGCCTGGGGTCTTCTGCAGAAAATCAGCGTAAATGCCTCGTGCCTTCTCGCAGACAATACCCTTAGTCATGGTATCTCCTGTGAGCTGCTTCTCCGTCAACCACATCAACAGCAGCTTCTCCATCTTTTCATGGATGATATAGCCTTTATAGACTCCTCCTACTTTAGTATTGTACATATAGTAGAAGTGCTACCTGGTACTCCCTGGCCAAGTCCACAATCCGCACACCTCGCTTGTATTCATCTATGATTTCATGCTGTACTTCCATGGATATCATCCTCTTTTTCTTCTCAGCACTGTCCTTTGCACTTACTTTCTTAGGACCCATGGTTAGAAAAAAGAAATTTGGCAAAATAACTGCACAAAACGTATGCAAAACGTGAGAGAAATCCTTGCACCCAGCATTAAGCACATGCACTGGTGATGGTGAACGTTGTTGTGGTATTCATTGTGCCATCTAGTGGCGGCATTCTGAAGCTCATTTGTTATTATTATAATTATTATAGTTTAGGTAGTAGGTTGGTAGACAGCAACCGCCCAGGGAGGTACTACCGTCCTGCCAAGTGAGTGTAAAACGAAAGCCTGTAATTGTTTTACATGATGGTAGGATTGCTGGTGTCCTTTTTTCTGTCTCTTAAACATGCAAGATTTCAGGTACATCTTGCTACTTCTACTTACACTTAGGTCACACTGCACATACATGTACAAGGATATATGTACATACCCCTCTGGGTTTTCTTCTATTTTCTTTCTAGTTCTTGTTCTTGTTTATTTCCTCTTATCTCCATGGGGAAGTGGAACAGAATTCTTCCTCCGTAAGCCATGCATGTCGTAAGAGGCGACTAAAATGCTGGGAGCAAGGGGCTAGTAACCCCTTCTCCTGTATACATTACTAAATTTGAAAGGAGATACTTTAATTTTTCCTTTTGGGCCACCCCCACCTCAGTGGGATATGTCTGGTACGTTGAAAAAAAAAATTATTATAGTACATACATGTATTATTATTATTATTATGGGGAAGTGCTAAACCTGTAGGATTATACAGCGCCTGTGGGGGGGAGAGGGGATGGAAGGTATTCGGGCTTAATTTAGGGAACTGGAGCAGAGATACAATTCCCTAGATCATGAGCCCCTCACCAGTGTCAAGGAACCTCCCTTGAGAGGGAAGCTTGCAACCTGAATTTTGGCTCATATCAAGGAGCAAAAAATCAACCGAGCAACGGCTTGTATCCTGAAAAACTCGCATGGTGGGGCACTCGTAAGCAGAGGTTCCACTGTACTATGTACAGTGATAAAAAGACAATGCAATGTTCAATAATAAAACTTAGTTAACTAATTAAAACTTACAAGTATGAAGACATTCAGTGACTGTAGTGGCATCAACCAGGTAGCCAGAACAAATAGCACAAACAATGTGCTCATTTAAAGTCCTCAGCTTAATTCTTCTCTCCATTCCCTTATTACCCCAGATGAGGAATGCGTGTTGCTGAAAAAAAGTTGCACCCTATTTTATTTAAAGGAAAAAAGTAAAGATTTAAATTTTATTATAATGCAGCAGCAATAGAATTACTGAAAATTTGCACCCCCATGGAAAACATACCATAATTGGCACTAAATTTCTTAAGTACAGTTAACCTACAATATAACAGACTTAAAATGATGGGCAAAATTCACTGATTAAATTGTACTTTTACCTTCTTTTGGGAAATTGTGTTTAGATTACTATATGAGGTATACAGTAGAGTACTCAAGTGTTTTTTTTTTTCAGCATTCTGATTTAATGAACATTTGAACAACACCCTCTTCCCCCCATCAGTCTGTTATATCAAGGTTTATGTTAGGGTAATTTATAGTATATAAATATTAGCAAGGTTAAGTTCAGTTGCTATGTAGTTTAAGTTTCTAAATTAACAATTTGTCTTAATACTGTAACCCCTGTACATAAACAATAGAGGTGACAATCCAAAAGTCCATTAAATCAGAATGTTTAAAAAATAAATAAAAAAAAAACACTTATGAACTTTACCACTCTACTGTATACTAAATATAATACTGTACACACTCAATTTACAGTTATACAGGCATAACATTAATTTCCAGCACCTCTGGTTCTTAGGCCTTGCCAGAATACCGATTTTGCCGAACCAAATGAGGACACATAATGAGAATTTATCACACCTCTAACCCACCATGGTCTCCTGGAGACTTACATTAAACATTAGTATAAATGGAAGAGGTTTATTAATTACTACATTTAAAAAGAATGTTGCAGTACCACCACTCCCAAAGTAGTCAATTTTAGAATTTTACTGGAACAGTGGCGCTCATCACAAAGGTCTGGAAGTCGAAGGTTGTCAGGATTACTGTCTGTTTCACAGTTAACAGTTTCATCATGGATTTGTTATGTTACAGGGAGGACATCTGAGGTAGCTGAAGCTAAAGCCAAAGGATTTTCAGATGGATTACTATGACACATGTGCCTGGCTATCTTTTTAAATATTTCATCTAAGAAAGGTTATTTCATGTGCTTTGATCTTTCCCTGTGTAATTTTTCATTCATCAAATAGAAATTCGTTAGCTCTTGGCCTGTCACAAAGAAACATTATTCTAGCCCTTTGATTCACCTGACAACTCAATCAACTTGTCAATAGCCATAGCAATCGACAATTTACAGGAGGGCCCCGCTTTACAGCGCATTGTTTTACACAGTTTCACTATTGCAGCAATTTTCAATTACAGTGGAACCTCGGTTTTTGTTTGCCCTGGTTTTCGGTGCATTTGGTTTTCGATGACTTTTTTTTGTCAAAATTTTGTCCCAGTTTTCATTCATCACCTTGGATTTCGTCGAGTTGACAGTGGTCCGCTGTACTAAATGTGTCTGCCTGCACCCACAAAAAGCATCCCACGCATTCTGAGTCAGTCTAGCATTGTTTCTCTTCGGTAGAGAGTGGTAGTGATGGTGGTAGAGGGTGGTAGTGGTAGTCATAGAGGGTGGTAGTGGTAGTCATAGAGGGTGGTAGTGATGGTGGTAGAGGGTCGTAGTAGTACTGATGGTGGTAAAGATAACCTCTCTCCCTCTCCCCTCCTTGCCGTCTTCCATACGCCAACAAGAGTCTTCAGTAAAGGTAAAGTGATGTTAAATGTTCATTTTTCCATTTCATTAGTCCTTTATATTTATTTCTCATTATTTTCTGTATGTAAAACTATTGTTATTCTCTATAAAATGTATTTTTTGTTAATACTTTTGAGTGGAACGGATTAATTGGATTTACATTATTACTTTTGGGAAATATTGCTTCAGTTTCCGTCAAATTCAGTTCTCGTCAGACTTTCTGGAACGAATTAATGAAAAAAACCAAGGTTCCACTGTATACCCATTCTTCATTGAATCAGACTTCCTACAATAAATATATTCACCACTTACTGTAAGCTAAGGACAAAAATATTTTAAGATAACTAATGTGTGTCTTATGTAGTAGGATGGTAAACAGGAACCACCCAGGGAGATATTACCATCCTGCCAAGCGAGTGGAAAATGGAAACCTGTATTTGTTTTACATGATGGCAGGATTGCTGGTGTATTTTTTCTGACTCATAAAAATGAAAGGTTTCAGGTATGTCTTGGTACTTCTATTTACATTTAGGTCACACTACACATGCATGTACAAGCATACGTATATATACACACCCCTCTGGATTTTCTTTATTTTCTTACTGGTTCTTGTTCTTGTTTATTTCCTCTAATCTCCATTGGGAAATGGAACAGAATTCTTCCTCTGTAAGCCAAGCATGTCGTAGAAGGCCACTGAAATGCTGAGAGCAAGGCGCTAGTAACCCTTTCTTCTGTATACATTACTAAATTTAAAAGGAGAAATTTTCGTTTTTCCTTTTGGGCCACCCTGCCAAGGTGGGATATGGCCAGTTTGTTGAAAGAACTAATGTGTGTACTGTATATGCAGTTTTAAGGCCTAGCTCTATTGCTCTCTTAACCCTTTCAGCGTCCGTCCCGTAGATCTACGGCTTTACGTTCAGGGTCCAAACCGTAGATCTACGCCATGAGCTCAGCTCACTCTGATAAACTGTGAGTGGTACATTTGGGCCTAGATATGAGAGAATACATCTATGTGGTATGTGTGCACCACATAAAACAGATCCTGCAGCACACTGTGTATAATGAGAGAAAAAAAATGAAATCATGATTTTTCGATTAAAACAGCAACTTTGCAGTGTTTTTTCGTATGTTTTTTATAGATGTATTTGCGATTTCTTGGTCTCATTTGATAGAATGGAGGACATATTACAGAAATAGAGATGATTTTGATTGGTTTTAGCACTGGAAATGGCTTGAAACTGAGCTCAAAGTAGCAGAAATGTTAAATTTTTGCCGATATTCAAGAGTAAACAAACGACCTCACACGTCTAATAACACGTCAGCTGGTGGGTCTAATATACATTCACAAATATGGTGATATATTTATACAATCATTACAGTATTGCATAACAGTAAATCTTCTATTTTTTGGTGTGAATAAAAAATCAAAATGGAATTTATTTGTAAAGCCTCAAAACATAACTAATGAACAGAGGAAATGTTAGTTTAGTGCCAGGAATACCTACATTGTTCATTCTGGACCCTATTTGAAATTGGAATATTTTGAACTTTGTGTTAAATTGGCCAATTAACAATTTCCAATCACTTTATTTTGTAGTTGAAACAGTTGACTTGGCAATTTCTTGTGCTCATCGATAGAATAGAAGTATAATAGTGAAATACTAAGAATTTGGTTGATTGGAATAATGTAATTGGCCTAAAATGGAGTCAAAGTCGGCAAAATCGCCAATTCGTAAATATCGCTGACACATCAAATTCGCGAGAGCATAATTTCGTCAATTTTCCACCAAATTTCGTACTTTTTGTTTTATTACCTTCACAAAAAGATTCTCTACGATTTCATAAGAAAAAATAACAAATTTTTTTTTTTTAAATTCTTGGACACTGGTGCGTGACTCCAGATTTGGGCCTTGGACCCTGAAAGGGTTAATATATGATAGTGTAAACATTTTATCAGGCTTGTACAGTATATGCATTTGATAGTGAGAAAAGGATGTTTACTGTAAATATTACAAGTGCATGCTACACACAAAATCTGTGACTCCTCAGTAAACTAGTCTGGCCAAAAAACTAATTTCGTAATTTTGATTATTTGATTATCCTGGGCTAAATCAACTTAATGTTTTTATATGTCTATAACATCTATGTACCCTCAAGACCACTGTGAAAAATTAGCATTTTATGTACACTAAGTTTACACAAAACTTGCTTTCTTAAAAGCTGGACCAATTGATTTTTTTTAGGGGGGAAGAAAACGGAGAATTTTAAATATTGCACTGTACATATTTCCTGCAATAATTTCTGAGTGCCACACCTCATCTGTGCTGATTACTTGATAGTGCGACATTCGAGCACCTTCAAGCTTAACCCCTTGACTGTCGCAACCCCCAATCTTGAGGTGTCTCCTGGTGTCGCAAAATTTCAACAAAAAAAAATTCTTTTTTCTTATGAAATGATAGAGAATCTTTTCCCGATTGTAATGACACCAAAAAAAAACGAAATTTGATGGAAAACTGACGGAATTATGCTCTCGCGAAGTTAGCGACCTCGGCGATATTTACAAATCGGCGATTTCCCCTACTTTGAGCCCTATTTTCGGCTAATTCCATTGTTCCAGTCGACAAAACTCATAGCTATTTCTTTAGAACTCCGTTTTTTCTATCGATTGAGTACAAGAAACTGCCCATTTACTTATTTCAACTACCCAATAACGTGGTCAGAAATTTGCAATTTGGCCAATTTCACGAAAATTAAAAAATATGACAATTTCAAAATAAGGTCTACAATGAACAATGCAGACATTTCTGGCTCTAAAATAAGATTTTCTTTGTTCATCAGTCATGTCTCCAGGCCCCTCTGATATTACTCTTGCTTTCTATTTTGAATTTTTATTCAAACAAAAAATAGAAGATTTACTATTATGCAGACTACTGCAATACTGTCATAATTGTGTAAATAACATCAACCCATTCATGACTGCATATTAGAATGGCTAGTTGGACATTTATTGGACAATGACATCATTTGTTTACTTTTGAACATCGGCAAAAATCGAACATTTCCCCTACATTGAGCTCCATTTCCAGGTTCTTTTTATAGTAAAATTAATCGAAATCACCTCTATTTCTATAATATGTTTTCCATTCTAGCAAATGAGACCAAGAAAGCGAGAATACAACCATAAATACTATACGAAAATAGATCACAAAGTCGGCATTTTAGTTAAAAAAAACGGTCAGTTTTTTTTTTCTCATTATGCACTGCGTGCTCCAGGATTTTTTTTATATGGTGCACACTGACCACACAGACCCATTCTCTCACATGTGGGCCTACCAGCTTCTCTCCTTGATTTGAAGCTGCTAGAATTTATGAGTATATATACGTCAAACACGGTACCTCGTAAGACATATATACGGCCGCAACAATCAAAGGGTTAATATGCTTATTTATTTTAGGATATTCATCTCTTTGGTCCCTGTGAAAAATCTGAATTAGACTTGGTCTGCATATCCTAAATTTTCATTAAAGAAATTTGGATATTAGTTACCATAAGATGACTTTTGTCTCATCTGATTCCCTTCAGTTTAAGACGCATTCTGTAATATTCCAAACATGTACACTGAGGCAAGGGGGAGCGAGAGCTATGGAATACAGGAACACATTTCACGGATTGCACAGCAACCAAAAAAAAAGTCTAGGGTCCACTGGGGTTCTTTGATCCTCTCTCCACTCAATAATCCACTAAGGAATAAGTACCTACTTACTGCTAGCTGAATGAGAGCAACAGGTGAAAGCAAACATGCCCACCATTTCTACTTTCTACTTGTGCCAAGGCTGAATCCAGGTCTTTCAGATGCGAGCTAAAGGCATTACAATAAATGAAAAAAAAAAAAAATTCCACTTTAGATGTTGATATTATTTCCTCTATCACAAGTGCCCTAGCCATAACTTTCACTACTACTATTGCACCATACTTGACCATGTGTATGGCACTGTGGATGATGCATTTCTCTCATTTTTCGTAAGTTGTCAGGATCACAGTAAGTTGGTGTTTTTTAACAGTAACTTTTAAATGGTTGGCAGACAGGAAGCCTCTGGAATCTTCAGGCAAAGATTTCCTGAATTTTGGTCCTTTTATACATATTGAGTTTTTACACAGGTAGAGTTGGACATGTGGAATGAACAGAGGTATTTGTGTCTGGTATTATGCCTATTACTTCTGTTAAGATAAGATAAGATTTCGTTCGGATTTTTAACCCCGGAGGGTTAGCCACCCAGGATAACCCAAGAAAGTCAGTGCGTCATCGAGGACTGTCTAACTTATTTCCATTGGGGTCCTTAATCTTGTCCTCCAGGATGCAACCCACACCAGTCGACTAACACCCAGGTACCTATTTGCTGCTAGGTGAACAGGACAATAGGTGTAAGGAAACGTGTCGAAATGTTTCCACCTGCCGGGAATTGAACCCGGGCCCTCCGTGTGTGAAGCGGGAGCTTTAGCCACCAGGCCACCGGGCCACCGCTGCCATCAAGAACGAATTTCAGAGCAGGCCTGATATTACAATTGACTGTCCTGTATATGTTGTATGCAAAGTAGTACAATTGAATTTTGTGTATATTAACCCTTAAACTGTCCAAACATAGATCTATGTTTTTTCAACATTTGAAAGTATGTGCAAGAAAGGTATAAAATACCGACAATATGAAAGTTAAGACACATGTGCGACATCTGGATATCTTTATTGTAGACGTTTCGCCATCCAGTGGCTTTATCAATACAGATTCTAGGACATAATAGGAAGACAGTAGAACTATATACAAAAGATGAGGTAATCAGTCCCTCAGCCTTGGAGTTAGTGTTCACAGCATCGTGGTGGAGGAGAATCTGGAGCAAAGGCAAGAAGACTGGCGGTTACATAGGCGTCAGTGGATAGGGACGGGCAGCAGACGAGGGCATAGTCACTGGTAGGCGGGATTCCCCAGTGGAAGTAGGTCCTTCCCAAAGAGATGGGTTAGTTGCAGCAGCCGTGAAGAAGGTCTTGTAGATGTCCTCTGAACCAAGATTCCATGATGTTGCAGTGTCTGACAAGTTGTGCTGCAACTAACCCATCTCTCTGGGAAGGACCTACTTCCACTGGGGAATCCCGCCTACCAGTGACTATGCCCTCGTCTGCTGCCCGTCCCTATCCACTGACGCCTGTATAACCGCCAGTCTTCTTGCCTTTGCTCCAGATTCTCCTCCACCACGATGCTGTGAACACTAACTCCAAGGCCGAGGGACTGATTACCTCATCTTTTGTATATAGTTCTACTGTCTTCCTATTATGTCCTAGAATCTGTATTGATAAAGCCACTGGATGGCGAAACGTCTACAATAAAGATATCCAGATGTTGCACATGTGTCTTAACTTTCATATTGTCGGTATCTTATACCTTTCTTGCACAACTTGTCAGACACTGCAACATCATGGAATCTTGGTTCAGAGGACATCTACAAGACCTTCTTCACGGCTGCTGCAACTAACCCATCTCTTTGGGAAGGACCTACTTCCACTGGGGAATCCCGCCTACCAGTAACTGCCCTCGTCTGCTGCCCGTCCCTATCCACTGACGCCTATATAACCGCCAGTCTTCTTGCCTTTGCTCCAGATTCTCCTCCACCACGATGCTGTGAACACTAACTCCAAGGCTGAGGACTGATTACCTCATCTTTTGTATATAGTTCTACTGTCTTCCTATTATGTCCTAGAATCTGTATTGATAAAGCCACTGGATGGCGAAACGTCTACAATAAAGATATCCAGATGTTGCACATGTGTCTTAACTTTCATTTGAAAGTATGTAAAAAAAAGTAATTTTTTTTTTTTTACATTTGAAAACGTGTAAAAAACTGATCCACTTTTTTTTTTTGGTTATACAGTGGACCCCCGGTTTACGATCAGCTCCCAATGCGACCAATTATGTAAGTGTATTTATGTAAGTGCGTTTGTATGTGTATGTTTGGGGGTCTGAAATGGACTAATCTAATTCACAATATTCCTTATGGGAACAAATTCGGTCAGTACTGGCACCTGAACATACTTCTGGAATGAAATAATATCATAAACCAGGGGTCCACTGTACAGTGGACCCTCGACTAACGCTATTAATCCGTTCCTGAGAGCTCATCGTTAGTCAAAATTATCGTTAGTCAAGTTAACTTTCCCCATAAGAAATAATGGAAATCAAATTAATCCGTGTAGGACACCCCAAAGTATGAAAAAAAAATTGTTTTTACCACATGAAATATTAATTTTAATACACACAAACTGAAGAAGACATGCACAGTTACATGACACTTACCTTTATTGAAGATCAGGTGATGACTGATGGGATGGGAGGAGGGGAGTGTGTTGATGGTCTAGTGTTTAGAAGGGGAATCCCCTTCCATTAGGACTTGAGGTGGCAAGTCCTTTTCTGGGGTTACTTCCCTTCCCTTTAAATCTCTCAAACCAACCTTTGCTGGCCTTAAATTCACTCACATCACCACTAGTTGCTGGCATTTTTTTAATTAAATCGTCATGCAACTTCCTAGCCTTTTCACATATGATCGCTTGAGAGATGCTATCTCCTGCTATCTGTTTTTCGTTTATCCACACCAATAACAGTCTCTCAACATCTTCGAGTACTTGCGATCTCAGTTTCGAAAACATAGTTGCACCTTTGGCAAGAACAGCTTCCTTGATTGCCGTTTTCTTGCCCACAATAGTAGCGATGGTTGATTGGGGTTTTGTGTACAACCTGGCCAGCTAGGAGACACGCACTCCACTTTCATACTTAGCAATGATCTCTTTCTTCATATCCATAGTAATTCTCACCCTTTTTGCTGTAGGGTTGGCACTAGAAGCTTTCTTGGGGCCCATGGTGACTTATTTTGCAGGTGCAATCACTAAAAAGGCTGTGATAATATGAAATGTTCCGATTGTATGCTTGGAAGCGACCGCAGTGGCTGGCTGGCTCGTAAACACTGGCCAGAAGTGGACGCGTCTCAGACAAAACGAATAGTGTTGGTCGAGTTTTTTAGTGCTAGTTGAGGCAAAATTTTTGCATTAAAATGTATCGCTAGTCGGATTTATCGTTAATCGATGCCATCGTTGGTCGAGGGTCCACTGTATTTGAAAATATGTAAAAAAACGTAGATCTACTTTTGGAGCACTATGCATGTGAACGTAGATCTGCTTGGACAGTTTAAGGGTTAAGCAAGTTTAGACTTTTGCAGAGTGGAGAAGTGCACTGTCTGGCACTAGATTCAGTGATCATCTGTACAGCTGCCTTATTTGCAGTTATTAATGGCTTTAGGTTATTAGTGTAGTGGATCTCCAGACAAACAGCATAGGTGAGGTAGGGATAGATTAAAGAGTAGTATAATGTAAGTAATGCTGTTTGAGGTACAGAGCAACATATCTTAGAGAGGATGCCTACTAATTTGGACAATTTTCTTTTTATGTGCTTAATGTGGGTGTTGAATTTCAAGTTGCTGTCAAGGAATAGACCTTCATTGTGTCTTGCAGTGGGAGAACCATTGATCATAACATTTGTTTTACATATGTAACTCTGTTCCCAAACATCTTGTAAAGGTCTTATCAATGTTAAGAGCAAGTTTGTTGGTAGTCATCCCAGTAGATACATCTTTAAGAGCTCCTCATTAACAATGTTATTGAGAGGGTTTGGATTTCGGTGGGAGATGAAAAAAAAAAAGTTTTGTTGTCTGCAAACAGAACAGGTCTAAGTTGTCGAGGTGAATTTAGAAGATCATTGATGTATACGAGGAAAAGCAGAAGGCCAAGTACACTCACTGCCTTGGGGCACCCCAATGTTGATAGGTCACATTTATGGAGACACTAAATTTTGTTAAGGTAAGGCTTATAAATGCCAGTGCATGACCTCCGTCTGATACTATAATGTTCAAGTTTAAGGTGCAGAATGAGTGGTGTACAGTATCAAATGCTTTCCTAAGGTCTAAAATGATTATTATTGTTACAATCAAAACTAAGCACTAAACCCACAAGGGACAGTCTATATAGAGACCTACCTGATATTCACTGTTCTCAAGAGCTGCATAAATGAAGTTTAGCATATTTATAATTGCATTTTTATAATTGTTCATAGAGAAGCTCTAAATTTGTAGGGGTTATACAGCATCTGGGAAATGGGAGGCAACTGGTAAGGTTTTATTTATTATTATAATCAAAAAGAAGCGCTAAGCCACAAGGGCTATACAGCAAGGTTTTATTTAGGTTTTGTGTACATACCATGCATTTTTATTTCAATGGCCCTGAGGGCACACAGGTGTTATGGACATATGTCGACTTAAATTGAAATAATGCAAGTCACACAATGTGAATTTTTCATTGGGAACACTGAAAGAGTGAATAGCCTCCAGTTCCTTGGCTTAAAGCACCCACTTGATGGTTGGTTAATAGGGTTCAAGTCCTATCGAATACACTAGGGTCATTAAGGCTGTGATTAACTTTTCATCGCAAGAAAAAAGTTTAGTCACTAAAATAGAGATTAAACTCTCAGCATATATACACTAAGAGAAATAAACACGTGTAAATATCCAGTAAATATATGGTGATAGGTCTGGCCTTGGCTCTGTCAGCCTTCATACAGTAGTCTCGTAGCTTCTTGTACCATGTACCAGTGTACCATACTAGTATATTATATCCATGTTTCCCTGGCTATGACCCCAGTTTCCTGGTAATAGTCCTAATGCTACATACATACAGCTTTGTCTAGTATTGCCTCGACACATCTACATTCTCGTTCTAGTTTACCAGAGAACAAGAAGACTGATGTTCCCTCGTAGAGCACAACAGTAATCCCTCACATGTCTATACAACCTACTATATATACTCGAAGAGATTCCTGTGAATACCTCAACAACACCAGAAGTATTCTTGAAGACACTGGAGAGTGTAGTGAAGGTATTGAGTGTAGCAGTGTGTGGCGTCACCAGCGGCCACTCACCTCCTCTTCCTCCATCAACAACACTAATACACTCAACAAATATTTTTAACAAAGGTTTGGTTATACAAACATTTATTTAGATTGTTATGATGGTCTTGGCTGGCACACATTCGTTAATGTAGGGGGAGGTAAAACTTATTGACTACACTAGGGTAATTAAGGGTGCACAATAAGTTTATTTTGGTACAGGTACACATAAACAAAATTACACAAATTATCGTACATAGTAACATAGGTGTAAATTACCTAGGATAACCCCAAAAACAGTCACACTAAGTGACTTATTTCCACTGGTGTCCTTGATATCCGTTGGGGTCCTTTTCACCACCAGACAGCAATATTTTAACCCTTAAAATAGTGATTAAACTCATAGTATATATACACCCAGAAAAATACACCTCTGGGTGTATATATTCTGTGGCGCACAATGTCACGGGTGCACATTTAAAGTACATTATGTACATTTATTGGGTTATCGCAGGTTAATTTCGATTTAATTATGGGAAGCCCTAAACCCGTAGGGTTTACCTAACGCCTGGGAAATAGGAGGCAGTCAGGTTCGATCAAGAGCCCCTCGCCGGCATCAAGGCCCTTGTCCCTGAGGAGTTATCGTACGTTAAATTCTGCACAATTTAAAACCTTAAACCACTGTAGAAGTTTAAAATTATGTATGAGGCCAACAAAAACTTTCTCACGTTGACTATTATTGGGTTAACCAAAGCTAGGAGGAAATGATATGGTAATACTGACAAGATGTAGGAAAAGACACAAAGTTGCAGGTATACAGAAGTAAGATCAGGGACAAGATAGGCCCACTCAAAAGTTCCTCGGGTCAGCTCACTATCAGTGATAAGGAAATGTGTAGACGTTTTAACACATACTTCCTCTCAGTTTTTACACAGGAGGATACCAGCGATATTCCAGAAATGATAAATTATGTGGAACAGGACGATAATAAACTGTGCACGATTAGGGTCACAAATGACATGGTCCTTAGGCAAATAGATAAATTAAAACCTAACAAATCCCCAGGCCCTGATGAACTGTATGCAAGGGTTCTAAAGGAATGTAAAGAGGAGCTTAGCAAACCTTTGGCTAATCTTTTCAACATATCACTACAAACTGGCATGGTGCCAGATAAGTGGAAAATGGCAAATGTGATACCTATTTTCAAAGCAGGTGACAGGTCCTTAGCTTCGAACTATAGACCAATAAGCCTAACCTCCATAGTGGGAAAAATTATGGAATCAATAATTGCCAAGGCAGTTCGTAGCCACCTTGAAAAGCATAAATTATTCAACGAATCTCAGCGTGGTTTTACAAAGGGGCGTTCCTGCCTTACGAATTTATTAACTTTTTTCACTAAGGTATTTGAGGAGGTAGATCATGGTAATGAATATGATATTGTGTATATGGACTTCAGTAAGCCTTTTGACAGGGTCCCACATCAGAGACTATTGAGGAAAATTAAGGCACATGGAATAGGAGAAATTTTTTCCTGGATAGAGGCATGGTTGACAAATAGGCAGCAGAGAGTTTGCATAAATGGGAAGAAATCAGAGTGGGGAAGCGTCACGAGTGGTGTTCCACAGGGGTCAGTGTTGGGCCCCCTGTTGTTCACAATCTACATAAACGACATTGATGAGGGCATAAAGAGCGACATCAGCAAGTTTGCCGATGACACCAAAATAGGCCGTCGAATTCATTCTGACGAGGACATTAGAGCACACCAGGAAGATTTGAGTAGACTGATGCAGTGGTCGGAGATGTGGAAGATGCAGTTTAATATAGACAAATGCAAAGTTCTAAATGTTGGACAGGACAATAACCATGCCACATATAAACTAAATAATATAATCTTAATATTACGGATTGCGAAAAAGATTTAGGAGTTCTGATTAGCAGTAATTTGAAACCAAGACAACAGTGCATAAGTGTTCGCAATAAAGCTAATAGAATCCTTGGCTTCATATCAAGAAGCATAAATAATAGGAGTCCTCAGGTTGTTCTTCAACTCTATACATCCTTGTGCAAGAATGGTATATAATACCGACAAGATGAAATTAAGACAAATGTGCAACATCTGGGTATCTTTGTGCAATAATGGTATATAATACCGACAAGATGAAATTAAGACACATGTGCAACATCTGGGTATCTTTATTGTAGACGTTTCGCCATCCAGTGGCTTTATCAATACAAATTCTAGGACATAACTTGAAGACAGTAGGACTATGTACAGAAGATGAGGTAATCAGTCCCTCAACCTTGGAGTAGGTGCGAAGAGCACCGTAGTCGTGGAGATTCTGAAGCAGAAGCAAGGAGCCTGGCGCTTATATAGTAACGTCAGGTGTAAACCATAAACCATACCCCCGGCCGGGCTGAACCCGCGGTCATAGAGTCTCAAAACTCCAGCCCGTCGCGTTAGCCACTAGACCAGCTAGCCACAATAAGATTCATCCAACTAGGTATATTTCTACACCATAGGAAGGTGTAGCAGACGAAGGCATAGTCACTGGTAGGCGGGATTCCCCAGTGGAAGTAGGTCCTTCCCAAAGAGATGGGTTAGTTGTAGTAGTAGTTGTCGTAATCGTGAAGGTTATGTACATGTCCTCAGAATGGTATAAACCTTGGTAATAAATACCGACAAGTTGGTTTAGAAAGACACGTAAGCAAACACTATAACATATTTATTAGAAAACGTTTCGTTCCTGGGACCTTGATCACTTCTAACATACAGAGGTAGAAAGACATTATATATATAGGCGGAGAGTGAGATGTGACGCACGTGACCTGAGGAATGTCATAAGAACATAAGAATGGAGGAACACTGTAGAAGGCCTACTGGCCCATGCGAGACAGGTCCTTATCACATCTCACTCTCCGCCTATATATATAATGTCTTTCTACCTCTGTATGTTAGAAGTGATCAAGGTCCCAGGACCGAAACGTTTTCTAATAAATATGTTATAGTGTTTGCTTACGTGTCTTTCTAAACCATGTCCTCAGAATCAAGATTCCATGATGTTGCACATGTACAGAATCAAACAATTTTTGTCTCCCCGGTTACATGGTTTCATGCATGGAAGGAGCGTGCATCATTGCATAGCCACCTTTCTCACCCTGCACACTGACAGCTCATACACTACCTTCCTTGACCTTAAATCCGCTTTCGATGTAGCCAACCGACATGTAATCATTAGTGAACTTGCCAGAATGGATGTTGTGTAAGAATGATATATAATACCGACAAGATGAAATTAAGACACATGTGCAACATCTGGGTATCTTTATTGTAGACGTTTCGCCATCCAGTGGCTTTATCCTCCTTCCTAAACCCAAAAAAGACCACTCTGATCCTAGAAACTATCGCCCTATCAGCCTTCTCGAAACTTTAGGTAAACTCTTTGAAAAACTCATCAACCATCGCCTTCGCAGATACCTGGAACACAACTTTCTACTTTCTGATGGTCAGTTTGGCTTCAGAACACACAGATCCACACAAGATGCCATTAACATCATTCTCAACTACATCCACATAAACACAGAACAAAGAAACAGGACAGCCCTGGTTGCAAAAGACGTTGAAAAAGCTTTTGACACTGTCTGGCACCAAGGGCTCAAGTACAAACTCTGCACTAACTTTAACCTGCCTCTCACTACTCGTAAACTCCTCTGCAACTTCCTAGACGGCCGTACCATGAGAATCAAATTCCAAGGCTGTTTACTCTGACTACTTCACACTAAATGCTGGAGTACCCCAGGGATCTGTCCTCTCCCCTACCCTCTACATTTTATACACTAACGACATTCCAACACCTGTATACCAAAACTCCATCACACTAGCCTATGCAGATGACATTACACAACTTATCACTCATGCCAATATAGATACACTCACACACAAAACACAAAATGAGGTCGACAGGATAGCCATCTGGGAACAAAAATGGAGGATCAAAACCAATGCAGCTAAATCCAGCATTACATATTTTAACTACAGAAAACGTGATCCTCCATTACCTGTCGAGCTCAGAACAGCTGACACCCGCACTTACATCCCCATGACACAATCTGTCACTGTCCTTGGCGTTAATCTTGACTACCTTCTACGCTTACACGGACACATTCACTCAAGGCATGCAATAGCTAGTAAGGCCCTTGCGGGCCTCTGCAAGCTGAAACATGCCTCTCAACGCACCAAACTACACCTCTACAAATCCCTTATACGTCCTCTGATAACTTACTCTCCTCTAGCCCTCTCTCTTGCAGCAAAAACAAACTTACTTAAACTGCAGCGTGTCCAGAACAAGGTGTTGCGCTGGGTGCTTGATGTCAGATGGGAGGACTTCGCCACATGCGAGTCTCTACATGCCCAGTTAGACATCCCTGCGCTGAATCTGTACTGGAAGACGCTCTGTGACAGACAGATTGACAAACTTGTGACACGACATGACTACTGGACCTCTCTCCTTGACGAAGACATTCGCAGACCCACAAACCAACACAACCTTTTCTACTCCTTGCATGATCCTGCTCCTAACCCTATTTACAAATAACCTTGGATTCTCCGAGAGGTACCTTCTATGACAGGTACCATTCTCTGATCCACGTTCGCCTTA